TCTTTTCTCATGGGCTACCCCCCCCCTCCCCCCCTCAAAAAAAATGTTTTCGCTGACATTACTGAGATATTTTTCAGCAAAGAAAATATTTGGACATTTTTCTCCCTAATAAGCCTGATGCTTTGTCTGGATTCAGTTGTCGAGGGGTGTTGAATCCTGTTTAATATTAAAGGCCTAGCGTTACCTGAAGTAGCGCACGTCGCCCACCCCCTTTCATGCCAGAAGTTTAAGGACTACTACTAAATCAAACGATCTATATCTGTACTTTGAATTACAGTTTTAGTGTTGGCTAATGTCGATTAGCCATCTTGAATTGAGTTGGCTCCAACAATATATTGATTTTGATCATCTAATGATTACTTCCTGAAAGTTGCATTAAAAATATTCAATAGTTAAGAGATATTTCACCAACAGACATACAAAAATGGATCTGCCGAACCACATACAGTGATTATAAACTGTTCTAAAGCTCATGCAAGTGCATACCAAACAATTATCTTTTAGAGTTGTACAGAAATGTTAAATATCCATTTTCTCTGTCAGATTATTGTTTCTTTCTTTACCTTCTGTATTTAGTTACCAAGAAACGCTCATCTGTTGCACACAGGAGAAACTCCGAGCTGGAGCTTTAACCGTGGCTGCACATCATTTTGTACAGGAAAAGTTGAGCGCGATCAAATCAACAGATTAGTCGTTTTTCCATTATTGCTCACACCCTTTCCTTCCCGTTTTTCATTTCCCGCTTCTCCTTTTTATCCCTGCTCCCCGATCCGCTCGCTCCTTCTCCTGCCCCGGTCCTCCTGCCTCCACCTCATATTTCTGTCAGTATGCTGATAGAGTTTGGGGGGCCTCGGTAAGGAAGGGGATATTAAATCAGGGCTTCTCTCGTGGTGTGCATGTGTGTCTCCAGTCGAGCCAGTGATTGGCAGGAACACTAATTCAGCTTTTAGGAGTTTGTTCTTCTCTCCTGCTGGGGAATCTTTAACCCTGAGATCGGCGGCGGCGGCGTCAGCGCCATCGAGGACTCTTTTGTTCCATTTTTAGCTCGTGTCGTTCCCTGTTTCTCATGACACGCCGTGCCGTTTCTGGGACGTATCAGTCCTCCGGGAGTTATAGCAGTTGTTTCATTGCCTTTTTTATTTTTTTTTTTTCCCAACTTCAAAAATGTTGCCATGGCAATTTAAGTGAGGGTTAATGTGTTTTTGCAGACGTCTGATGAGATGTGGTAACATACAGCTTTACTTTAAAAAGTCCGTGTTGCAAATTTAAGTGTTCACTGAATATCTCCTACGACAGTAATGATAACATTTAAAAGTTGAAGCATTATACTGTATATTTTGTATGTTTTATACTGTAATGTTACACCGCATGCACCAAGGTCCATCTTAAGGTAAAATCTCACAGAGCTGGATGTTAGACTCAAAAATCCAAGAAATGGAACAGATTTTTAGTTGCAGTCTCACTAAATGTTATGCGCAACACTTTTTGAGCTGATAGTTTTTGTAGTTCATGGCCTGTTTTTGTACGTAGGACTTGTAAAACTTTATTCTATACCGTTCACATTATTTACCATATTGGTGGCTGGCCCATGCCGAGGTTTGAGGTTTGAGACACCTGGGACAAAATTGGGAATGGTTCAAGAGGAGTCTGTCGCCTGGGACAAAATTGGGAAGTGTTTGAGGCCCTTGAGACAAAATTCAGATGGGTTTGCAAAATGTAGGACAAAACTGAAAATGGTTTGCAACACATCAGACACCTGGGACAAAATTGAGAATGGTTTGAGATGCCTAAGACAACATTTTGATGGGTTTGCGAAACATAGGACAAAAATGAAAAGGATTTAAGACCTGGATCAAAATTGGGAAGGGTTTTAAACACCTGAGACAAAATTTTGCTGGGTTTGTGTAACAGGACAAAATTGAAAAGTGTTTAAGACACATCGGACACCTGGGACAAAATTAAGAAGGGTTTGAGACACCTGAGACCGAATTTTGATGGGTTTGCAAAACGTAAAACAAATTAGTAAAGGGTTTAAGACACATTGAACACCTGGAACAAAATTAAGAAGGGTTTGAGACATATGAGACAAAATGTCTATGGGTTTGTGAAACATAGGACAAGATTGAAAAGGATTTAATATACGTTGTACACCTGGGACAAAATTGGGAAAGGTTTGAGTCACCTGAGATAAAATGAGGAAGGGTTTGAGACACTTGGGACAACTCTACAACATCAGTAAGAGGAAGAAAAAACTGTCTATTGTTTGAACATGTTTGAAATTTATGACAAACTGCAAGCCTTTAACTCCTGAGGAAATTGCAAACCTTGCCAACATTTGCCAATATTTTGGAGAATCCCTCTTGTTTGCCAACTAGTCACCAAGAGTTGCAGCTCAGCTGATATGTGAAGGGAAAATCTAATAACTATTGGATAATTTGAAGTGTCCAGTTGCTCAACCCTAATCTCAATCTGGATTTTTCTGTTTTACCCTTCGGTTTTGATTTCTTCAAGCTCCATCTGTCCAGTTTTCTAAACCAAAACTGATCTGAACTAAGCAGGCACATGTGAAGCGTTGCATGACGTCACTGATTTCACCGTCCCATTGGTCCGGCTTGGGCGTTAGCACATTGATCTGTTCTGTTATGACAACGTCCCACATCTGAGAGAGAAGCTAGAGTCACAGGCAGGAAAAGAAACGAAAACTGGGGAGAAATTTTTTTTTTTTTTTAAGTTCACAATCTGCCTAACCTCACATAAACGAGAGCAGCTTCAGCTCCGCTCGCCGCACATGTTGCAATTAACATGCATCAACAGCATGCTTGGCTGGCCGGCCTCAAAGGCTGTGAGCTGAGGTAGCTGGGCGTGTGGCGAGCAGAAAGGGGGTGGAGGTCAGCCGAGGGCAACCCTGGTGAAGCGTGGAGCTCGGTTCATAAATGTCAGCTGGACAGAAAACTTGTTTCACTACATGATTTATTACTGTAAATACAAATTTATTCAACCTTTATTCACACAGGTTAGTCTCATTGAGCCTCGAGGCCTCATTTACAAGAGACAAAACAAAAAACTCGAGCACAGATCGGCTCAAAAGCTTCGTAGTGTTTAAACCCAGCAAAAAGGCAAAATAAAGTGTGATAAAGGCTCTGTCTGTTAGCAAAATATTTAATGAACCACTGCACAGATTTTGCTGAACCTTTCAGAAAATGTTGGATGCACATCCATTGTTTATTGTACACCTGTCGAAAGCCGTTTTATTATGGTATGTTATTGATGCACAATGTGTCATCACTTGATAGTGTCACAAATCAAGGTCGACAAGGTCGTTGCCATAGATTGATGTATAATAGTTTGTCGAGGGACGTATGCGTCATATGTTTTGCTCTTGTTAATATTTGGAGTCAACCTGATTCAAAATGGCGGCCGCAGCCAACTAACCTTAAAAAAATAATAAATGGTGGTAATTTTGTCATTTTTACACATATTGGACTAAAATTTGGTGTGGCGTTAAACAAAGATTGATCCTCAACACATATTCTGAGCGTTAACGGATTAAACTAAATCTTTTTTGTCTTTACCTATTTAGAGTCAACCGTCTTGCTTGTTGGCTAAACCTAACCCTCCAACAACAAAGTCCGTGCTCAATAATCCAGGTACACAATCCAACATTTTTCAGTCATGTCATCTGGACAGTTTCTTTTTTTGTGCTGAAACGTTTCGCCTCCGGTCCAGAAGGCTTCATCAGTCAAGGAAACACAACAAAACTGATTCTTCCCCCAACAGCTTACTCCAAAGTGGAACAAACCAGTTCTGCTTGTGATAAGATGGTCTCTTTGGTATGCCCTCGCCTCCATTGCCGGCCCTCTTCCTTGTTGACTAACCCTCCAACCTTTTTACATGTTCTCTCTGTATAAGTGTGCTTTTTAGTTGGGTACTTCAGTTCCCTCCCACATTAAATACTGGTTGGCTCCTAGTCAGAATTTCAGGACGTAATCGTTGGTTTCACATTTGGAACTAATTAACCTTTTGGAGTCGGTCTAATATAAGATGGCCGCCACAGTGAATTGTCATTAGCAAATGTATCAGTTTTATTGATATTGAGCTAAAATTTAAAGAGGTAAATGATCGCCATCCTGTTCTTCGTGGTTTTAATTTAGTTTTTTTCACTACAGCTTTGTTAAAGTCTGAGCGTGGCGCAGTTGAGTTATTTTTTTTTTAATCTTGACATCTAATTCTGAAACCAGATGTTTGTTTTGTCTCATGTATGCTCGACCAGTGACACATTACGAACATAAAAACAGATTTGAAAATTTTACACTAAAGTCCATTTTTGAATTTTGTAGTCGCCCCCCCTTTAAATTAAATTTTCGTACATTTTTCTTTCCGTTAACAATGGTCTTCTCAGTCGTCCAAACGCTAGATTAGAGGTTCAATCCTTCTTTTATCAGTCGCTGATTCGAACATCTGCAGGCTGGCTCGTTCCACTCGTGTCAGCACAAAATAGGAGTTTTCACTGAACGGAATATTTCATTTAAGGTTGTTCACTTGAAATTAGATGAGCTGAATTTAACGTGGTGTTAAACTCCTGAAGGAACGATAAATTTTCTGTCATAACTTGGACCAGATTGGGACGAGGCAGAAACTCTTTCATTTCTGTCTCTTATCCTCAGCCAAGCTCCAGACCGACTTTTTATCAGCGTTTGAAAACTGCAGCCACGATAAGAAGTATTAGTTGTCTCACAGCTGACAGGTCAGCTTGATAAGAGAAAGAAGGGGGGACCAAAAAAAAAAAACCGAAGCCCAAAGCAAATCCATCAGCTCTGGTCACTGTGGTGATTACAGTCCAATCATTCACTTTGAAGTTCCCAAACTTCAAAGTGTGTGAGGGTGTTCATGTATGGCTTCGAAGGTTAATTGAGGATGAGTAGAGAACGGTTAAAAGTTGCTTTTGAAAATAAATTAAAAAAAACATTCATCTGTCTTTTGACTTTCCATCTTTCCTTCAGGATGCTGAAGAATGACGACGATGAAGAGGAGGCTGCTCGCGAGAAGAGGCGCAGGGCGCGCCAGGAGAGGCTGAAGAACAGGGAGAACGAGGAGCCCAGCAGCCAACCGGAGAGCCTGGTCGTGACCAACAGCCACAGGTGACACTCGGACAACAGTAATCTCTTGTTTGCGCCAGGACTCCTCCTATGTAGCCACGTCGTTGTAATGGATGATGGGTGAGGTTTAGCATAGTCTTGCTGAAATATGCGAGGCTTTCCCCGATAAAGACGCGGTCTGGATAAGAACATGTGCTAAAATAATTTCCCATTGACTGGACTTTTAAGAAACAACAAGGTTTCTGTCTACAATAGAACGTATTTGGTGGAACGAAAGTAATTTGGCCAGTCGATAAAGACGATATAACAATCTTTCCCATGGACGAAGGAAACTCATCTACGTTATAACTAGTCCTTCTAATGTTGGACACCGTTAGTTCTGAGGTAAGTCTTGTTATCTGCCAACGATATAATGTGCTGTGCAAATTCAACTTGATTTCACAAAAATAATAATCCTGCGTGTCATAATCCGTTACCTTTTCCAACATATTATCTGTAATGGAAAGCTCGTCAGCATGTAATGCTAACCAAGATGTCAGCTAACATCAGTGAATTGTGCATTAACGTTAGCCTGCGATATCACTCGGTTCAGTGCAACTGTCTGTCCGATAAAAATGCGTCATTGTAATGAGAGAAATTAAAACAAACGTAACGTTGGTGCCAATGAAACGCAACAACGGGCGCTAGGTTTGTCACCTTTTTCATCCCTTCTGCGTTTGCAGGTATGATACTGAAAGCCGCCCATGCTAGAGGCACTAATGCACCCCCATACTATCAGAGAGGCAGGCTTTTAACTGTGCACTGGGTTATCCCTGTCTTCTCTACAACAGGTGGTGGCATTCATGGCGTCCAAAAATAATTGTCCACAAAATGTTTCTTCAGTTCATTTAAAGCAGCTTTGACCCAAAGAGGACTACAGCTTTTGTGGGGGTGTGTTCACATATGGCCTTTTTTTTTGCATGATAGAGCTTTAACCAGTGTTGGTGGATGGCACTGATGATTTGCGGCATGTTCCTGAGCCCAAGCAGCGATGTCCAGAACAGAATCGGACCCATTTTTATTGCAGTGGCCCCTGAGGATCTGAAGATCACATCCACTACAATATTTACTTTGTCTTGTCCCTTGAGCTCAGATTTCTACAGATTCTTGAAATATTTGAGTTTATTATGAGCCGAAGATGATGGGATATTCAGCGTTGGTAGAAGATGTTGCACTACTTGTAGACAGACGGCGACCCTCTGCCCGTTTTTACTTCTAATAAAATTGTTCTCAAAAATGTCTCCTTAAATTCCAGTCTTCTAGCTGACCTGTTGCCAATTAACCCAATTAGTCGCTAAATGCTCCTCCAGGTCTTCTTCTTCTTTCACTTTAAGTTTGTTTTACCCCTCATGTGCCTTTTATTTAGGTTAACATTAGCTGTAACTCAAGTTCTGTATTTGTAGTAACCTTCAAGTTACATAAAAACACAAATAATGTAAAAGTACGGGTTGATCTGCACCTTTAAATTTGTTTAAAGTGTTGTTTGCTTTTCTTCCTTCTTTAGTATGACGGAGTCCGTGTCTGTGAGCAGTTCCTACGGAGGCGTCGGAGACGATGAGGACCAGGCCCTGCTGGACCGCATGGCCAAACGGGAGGAGAGGCGGCAGAGACGCATGAAGGAGGCGCTGGAGAGGCAGAGGCAGCCGGACCCCATGGAGGGCACAGAGAAAAACGACACAGAGGAGGAGAGGCCCTCCTGGCGCCGTTACCGCGACAACGTGGACGAAGAGGAAAAGACGATGGCGAACAGCCTGAAGAGAGAAGAGCCGAAAGAGGAAGAAGAGGTTGTTTCGGAGACGGGAGAGGAAAAGAGGGAGGAGGAAGCTGAAGTTGAGGAAAACGAACCGAGAAGATCTAACCTAAGAGAACAGGTTAGCTTTACTCGCTCTTCGTTTATTAAAGCTTTTAAATTGCACCTGAAAGGAGCTACGAATGTGACGCTTGTTTCTGCAGGCTGAAACCGAGGAGCCTAAAACGCAACAAAAGGTACGAATCTTCCCGTTTAATGCACATCGTCGAGTCAGTCCCAGATCTGTGTTTTCAAAGAACCGCTGTAATCCTTTTCCGTAGGAGCTCGCCGAAGAAGAAACTCGTTCGGTAGTCAGTGAGAGTTCAAATCAGGCCCAGTCAGCAAGCTCAGAGGCCGAGGAGGACGCAGTAGCGTCAGGGGAAGATGAAGAGGTACCTGAGGATGATAATGTAGATAACCCATCAAAGAACAAGCCTGTGTGGCTCAGACATGACTCTGAGGAAGAGTTTGAGGTATCTGAGGATAATGAGGTATCAAACATTCGGTAAGGATTCCAGTAGAGGTGTGATGCACGGCTTTGGAAAGAAAACCGTCTCTCCGGGTAATTTCAGTGTTTTGATTCGTCGTTGAGGAAAAGAAAAAATAAAACAAGCTTTTGATGATATTGTTTACTTGTGGCGGCTTAGTGGGACTAATGCAGATGTAAAAATAAAAATAAAAGGAGCTGGGCGGGCGGGGCACAATTCAGAGAAAACTGCAGAAATTCTCTTCTGTCGAATGGACAGAACAATTCAATACAAAACGAGAATAACACTGACATTCTTTAATAATGTAAGGTTACAAATTTGTGAGAGGAAAAAAAAAACTTTTTCAAGATTAAATCCCTCAATTTACAAGAATAAAGCAATTTTCTTCTATTTTAATGTCAAATTATCAATTTGAGATTAAAAAAAAAAAAAACGGTCCAGGATTCAAATATTAAATATATCTCAAATAAAATAACAGATGTTTATAGGTTAAGTTGTAAATTTACAACTTAATTTCCAGACTAAGATCTCATCCAAGTTTCCAAATTTAGCCCCGCCCACCAGCTTTTTTCCCCATTTCTTTTTTTTTTTTTTTTTTTTTTTTGCGATAACCTGCAGCTGTGTTTTTATTGACTTTATAGAGTTAGACGCTGAAATTACCTGAGCACCTTGTGTCTGCAGTGTGATTTACAGACTGCGCCTACCTTTGACAAGGTGTGGTTGTCGTTTCTAACCATTTCTGCTCCACAGAGTGTTTTCTAGAGCCCGGCCAATATTTTAGGCTGATATTGGCATTTGGGGACATATAGATATCTGTGATAATTGTCTCATTATACGCCGATATAAACACTTCTGAATTTACCTTTTAAATACTGGGAACAAGCCATGTTCTTACTTGCAAAAGGTGTAATTGTACAATGTATCCAGCAGAGGGCGCATGCAGACAACTTTCAAGCCATACCTCTTAGGTTTCACTTTCAGGGCAGCTGATGCACGGAACACTAAATACTGTGTAGCACATTTTGCTGAACAGAGCATGGTATGTTTATTTAACTCATCTGTAAATTTAAAAAATGATTAAAAATCTACAATAATAAATTCTCTTCAATCCTCCAACCCGCATGTCATTAGCTACATGCCTGTCAAGTTAACAAGCTAACGTTTAGATAACCTAGCATAAACTATTGCCTTGTAAAACTTTATCTAGAACAGTAAATCTAACAGAGAATATATCAGTGTTGGCAACGTTATCTTTGTCGTCCTCTGTGAAATGCATCGTTTGTCTGAAATCTTTACTTCCCTGCAAAGAAAACATTTTTTTTGCTGCTGTCAATGCTAATTAGGCCGTCACAATGCATGACTGACTGCTTAAACAATGAACAGGGAAAGACGTTTCTTTAATTTTATGTTTTTGTAACACACTTGATAACTTTATGGTGAATAGTGGAGGATAGAAAATGTGAACGCACGTTAGGAAGACTGTTTCAAGACTTCAAGCGTTAAAACGGGTTTAAAAGTAGCTGTTTTCTTAGGTTCTTTGTGGACAAAGATAAAAAATGTTAAGCCAATATATCTGTTATCAGCAATAGCCTCCCCTCCTAATATCAGCATCGACAAAAGCCAAAATGTCCATATCGGTCGGGCTCTAGTGTTTTCTGTAAGTCTTCCACCTCAGCAGCACGTCACATCTCTATGGCGACACTCCGACTCAAGAACTGAAATCAGATGTAACGTTATGTGCACGGCCAGTCAACATTTTTTTTATTGGTTATGTCTAATTGTAAACAATTAAAGTAATGCTTTGTGGAAACTTGTTGAAGGAATGTATATCTCCCGCCGGTCATGTTATCTAGAGAAATGACAGAGTTACTTTTTGGGACAAACCCTAGAAATAATGTTGTTCATGATGTCAGCAAAGTTTAGCCTAATTTCAATAAAACAGAGTTGTTTTGCTTTTTATTTGTGTACTAGTCTTGTTTAGCTTTAGTGGTCATCTTAAATTGGAACGATTTTGATTTAGATTATCGCCCGTCTTTCTCCTTTTGGCAGCGAGTGATAATAATTTGGATTTGTCAGGATTATTTCTGCTTTTTAACTGTCATTTTATTTCAACTTTAAATAAGCATCTGAAGACTGTGGCAATTGCTTAAAAGGGAAGTTGATAGTTTTTGATGGTATTTTTGTGGATCTGTTTGCTTGTCAATCTTTTCGAGCATAAACTCCATTCTGAGGCTGTTTAAAGAGTCATCTGCAGCTGGTAAGATACTTACTGTTCATATATTTTCTACAGAAGCCCACTTCAAAATAGCCAGACTGTTTTGTTTTAGTGAGCACTTCCATCGTTTTCCTAATTGTTTTTAGTCTTTTTGCTCCAGTTAACTTTTTTATGGGGATTATTTTGCTCCTTCTTGGTCAAGAAACGGAGATTTCCCTCTTATCGGATTAATATCAGTGACTGACTCTGCACATAATGATCTTCATTCATAATACTGAGGTTTAGTGGTTGATGGATTGAAGTTAATTAAAATGTACCAGTGGGATCAGTCTGGAGTGGACGCAATGAGATGTGACTTTCCTTTTCCAGTTTCGACACTCTTTCCTTCACCGTGTTTGGTCACATGATCGCCTTCACACCCTCAAAGCCTCTTCATGGTTTCACCACTTTCCTCACTGCCGACGTTTGTGTTTGTGGTAACGAAACAGGTAAACGAGAGAGGCGGGTTCAAGGAGGACAGGGAGGACCAGTGGAAGCACAATGGAGGGCTGCACGAGGAGGCGGCTCCCAAACAGCACTGGAAACCCGAGAGGGCCCCCAGGTACACACGCGGGTATAGTTCTCACCCAAAACCTGGTCTTAAGAAATGTTCAAGAATGCGTTAATTAATGAAGTCGTTGAATTTAAGCCCCAGTCAGCTGCTTTAAAAATCCAGAATAATAAATGTGGCTCATTTTTGGAGTTTTAATAAAACTCAAAAACCTAAAAAAATCATTTGATGCCAAAACCATTTGGCATCGACCACGCCTGCGCAAAATGAGCCATTTAACAAGCAGGCACGTCTGTGGGCAGCACAGTGTTGTTAGCATGGGTTACATTAAGACCTTCAGCACAAATCCAGAAGTTGAAGGTGGACCGGGTCGATCCCCGGTACAAATTTTAAGACTCAACCTTTCCACATAAACAACAGACTCTGTGCTGGGGGAGTTGACTTGACTTAAAGCCCCCACATCTCTGTTGCACATACTCTGTTTTCAAAATTACAACATGGCAGCGTTTGGAAAGCGGGATCTCGTGGCTTCAGTCCCCAACAACACGAGCAGGCAGGGACACCTGGTCTCTCCGTATAACGTACTTGCCGCCGTACACGTCACATCAGTCCAAATATGTATAAAGTAGAAAAAACCATAAATACGTTGCTTCACTGTAAAAATCGCATCTATTATGCGTCACCGCTGACCATCTGGATACATGGGCCAGTGTTGTGCCAAAAATCGATTGGCTGCAAAATGGCAGCCACAGGAGCATGCACGGAAGAACAAGAATTTAACCCTTAACAACAATTGTTTGTTTGCTCAAAATTACAGCAAAGGTGCGTCTCAGTTTAACTTTTTCTTAATAAATGCACTTTAATGGTCAAATCAGCTGCATTTCACTTGGGTGACGCAGCAAAATGCAGCTGATTTGACGTTTGCTCCAGGAGTTCTGGAGCGAGACGAAAGTGGTTTTGTATGGCAAGCCAAGTGTCTCATTAATAGCTGCTTTTACATATTAATGAGACACTTGGCTTGCCATATTACTCAAGCATCCTCTAGTGGCTGAAAATGGTAGTGCTCGTTGTTGTCCATGTCAGAATGAATGAAAATGTCAGATCTCAGCCAAAAATTGGGTTATAAACATGAGGAAAACAAAACATAAATAAGTCGCAGGACTTGCAAATTTACACAAAAAGGTGCAACGTGTACAGCGAAAAATACAGTATGTGTTAATGGTACCAGTTCAGGGTGCTTCAAAGAGAAAATCTGCATATTTTCTCACAGTTTTGTGTCCTTAGCAGTCGCAGCCCAATGGGACGCAGGCGCGAGTTCTTTTGCTGCGTTTGTACAAATTCAGAACTCACATTTGTTAATGAAGTCAGATCTGAATGTTTCGGTTGTCAAACCTGTCGCTCGTCTGGCTCTGTGACCGGGCTAACTACTGTTAGCGGTCCACGTGGATCCCAGTGGATTTCTGTGCATGTGTTCTTTTAACTGGACAGTGCTTTGTTTGTGGATTGCCGAGACACAAAAAAGAATTGACCTTAGAATGTTTGTTTTGGCCGCTGTCGCACCTTTGCATGCACGAGGCAGCCATGTTGGATTTTTCTGTTCAGGCTGGTCAGGAATCTCCACTTTGCTGAGTCGCCAGTTGATTTTATTCTCTGTAACACAGAAATTCAAACGGTTCGCTCCCTTTTTTATACACATTTCTAATGGATTTCCACTGGTAATGCTGAACATTTGATCTCTCTCCACGTTCCTAAGTGTTCTGGCCAGTTTAAAATTGTATTGCACGCCATCTGAGATGATGAAAATGATTTTTACTGTAAATTTCCTACCTAGGAAAGTAGTTTTAGCTCTGTTAGTAAACAAACCAGATTTATCTGATTTGTCTGTGAGCGTGAGGCGCAGTCTGACATCTGTTTGTCACCGAGACCAAAGCATAAACAAGTTGCCCGAGGCTTTTGCATAATAATTTAAAAGCGGCCCTAAATGTCATTTTCAAGCAAACGGGTTGTGTTTGTCGAGCGCTCGGCTGTAACTGAACAAAAGTGTTTTTCTGTCATGGGTGACCCAAAGTCAATCCTCAGCTTTGAACGCTGCGCTGCCATCTGAGATGAGCGGGAATTTTATCTCGAGCGAAGGCGTTTGTGCGTGTCCTTGTTTTCACCCGCGAGAGAAAACTCCTCAAGTGTGCGCGTTTAAATATTCAGCGGGGATCAAATGTCGAGCTTCGCCCTTCGTCTGTTTTTATTTTTTATTTTTCTGTGTCTCAGCCGTGGCAGTGTGCGTTCCCCCGAGGCGGCGGCGGACGAGCAGGACGAGGACGCTCGGCTGGAGGCAGAGCGCAAGCTGGAGGAGCTGAAGCGCCGCCGCGATGACGCCGAGAGCGAGGAGTTCGAGAGGATGAGGCAGAAGCAGCAGGAGGCCGAGGCCGAGCTGGAGGAGCTGAAGAGGAAGAGGGAGGAGAGGAGGAAGGTTCTGGAGGAGGAAGAGAGGCAGCGCAAGCAGGAGGAGGCGGAAAAGAATGCCAGAGAGGAGGTGATTTCTCCTTTTTCTTCTCTTTACTTTGTTTTTAAAACCACTGCACCACAGCGGCGCCGCTCTCTTATCTCAGCCCGAGTCGCCGTTATCACGACTCTCCGGATCGCCACCTGCACCTCACAACAACCTCACCTCTCTGGATCTCGAACACGATAGCCTCCTCGTTCCTTTGTGTTCCCGTCATCGTTGGTTTCTCCTCCCGCTCGCTCTGAGGCCCCTGCGCTCTCCTCTTTGTTCACGTCGGCTCCGAACGTGGCGGCCCGTCTCTCGCGGTTCTCCCACTCCCGTGTGATGTTAATGAGGCCTGTTGGTGAGTAATTAAAAGATGGCCGTCAGATAAACGGAGACTAATTAACCACGACAAGGAAGGTGGAGATGGCTGACCTGCTGCCAACCACCGCTTCTTGTCTGGTTGTTGTTTTAGCTCTTTTTACTGTTGCTTCTCCGACAACGGGCCCTTTCACCGATGCAGGCGACGGCTGCAAACAAGAATGTTCTCGGTGATTGAACTGGTCGGGAACCCGTCTCTTTGGAGAAACTAAACCAGTTTGAGTTTTATCACCGAGAGGTAAAAGGTGAGCAATGATTGTTTTGAGTAAATGTACAGATTTTAATAAAACTTAAAGAAAGTACGTGTAGAACTGATTACCGTTTGGAGTCGATCCAATTCAAGATGGCCACAGATAATCCGCTAACAGAAACATAGCTATGAGTTTTACAGATGTCCAGCTACAATTTGGTGCAGTCGTAGCTGAGACTCGAATCAGAAGCAAAACTTTACAACTCCGTCATTTCTCCACGAGATGACGTCCGTGTAAAACTGCGGCCGTCAACCTTCCAGGACTTTAGGTAGTTAAAAGTCAAAAGACCGTGCTGGGACACCGATTAATCAACAAACAACTTTTCAAGTCCTTAAGAATCAATAAAACTGATCGGCTCTGCCTCTTTCAGGAGGAGAAGAGGAAGATGAAGGAGGAGATTGAAAAGCGGAGAGCAGAAGCTGCTGAGAAGAGGCAGAAGGCGGAGGACACTCTGGACGGGGAGGGGAAACCGTTCAAGTGTTTCAGCCCTCGTGGTTCCTCCCTGAAGGTAAGTCCACTTGTACAGCCTCTCACCTTTGACCTCTAAACAAATGAGTCTTTAAACGTGAACTTCTGACGAAAGACAATTAATAATAGATATCTTACCTGTTTTAGATCGCTCTTTGAACAACTTCGGTTTGCCTTAAAAAAAAAAAAAAGCCACGATTAGCCATCCATCTAAAAACTGTGTTTATCACATGATTTATTGCAGGAAAAATAGCCAAACTAAAATTTTCAAGAACAACTTTTCCGCAAGTTTTTTTTTATACGCGTGTTCAAAAACGACCCATCAGGAGAAATGAGACTTTCCAGCTTTGTGAGAGGGTTAAGACGTCTCCATCTTCTATTTATCAATAGTCTGGTTGCAGAGGCAGCAGGTCCAGTTTAGCTTTAACTTTTTAAGGTTAAGTGAAGCGTTTTCCAAAACATCCACAGTAAATATCTGTTAACTCCATGTTGATGCAGCATAATGTACGTTTCAGAACTTCCAACGAAAAACAATTTAATTTTTATCTGAACGACAACCATTTAACTGATCATCATCACCAGGGAGTAAAACAAGTGCCATACAAAATAATTGTTTTACAGTATATTTGATGTTATAATTGTAAAACATAGTTAGAATTTAAAGCTCAAGCACTTTTATTTAAGAAAAGGACTGTATTGTTGTGTAAAACACTAAAGCTATTATATATATATTACAAAACTTTTTTATTTTTTATGATGTACGGGTAAATTTTAAGCACCTTTTTCCAAAACAAACATGTAAACACACCGTTTCTAGATAAGTCTTCATCCACACAGGAACAAGGAAAACGAACCAAAACGCTGTAGTAACTGTGCCAGGCCTGTATGTGGCGCTGCAACACTGCTAAGGCCAAAAAAAAAAACAGGAAACAAGGCGTGGAGATGAAAGCTTGAACTCTGGGCGTGAAACAGGAAGAGAAGGACGCCCTCGTGTTGTTTGAGCCAATGGGGTGTGGGTCGTCACAAAAGTACATGGATGGCATTTCATGGCTTTTTTTTTTTTTTTTTTTTTTTTTAACTCCAGAATCTATTTTCATAAAGTATGATTTGGGGGCTTACAAAGCACCATTTAAGTTTAGGACGGCTCCTGAAGGTCTGAATGTTCTTGCTGACCACAAACACTTGTGTATTTTTGTTTGAATTGCTCATAATTTTAAGTTTTTGAATATTTTCATAATTTGACCTTATGTAAATCTGCCATATAATGAGACAAAAAAAATGTATTTACGTTATAAAGGAATTTGGGAAAAACAGGATTTTCATAGAGATTGCTCAAGGATTCAATGTTCTTTATTTGTCATTTGTGGTGGAATGAAATTGTGTACACAGGGTCCCAGTTACATCCAACAATAAAATGTAAAAGAAAAACAGTAATAACATCTAAGATATGAACTAAGAAAAACATAGACTAAATATACACTAAGCACTGATAGCATAAAAACATTATGCCGAACAGCAGCACGAACATGAGTCTGTGTGAGCAAATGAGCATGAATGAACACAGCAACATGAAACAGATCAGCAGCAACGTGATTTTTCACAGTGATTATTCTGGTTAGAGATTCATGAGTCTAACAGCTTCAGGGTAGAAGCTGTTCCTCGGTCTAGTGGTTCTACACTTAACGCTCCTCAACCTCCTTCCTGAGGGGAACGGGGCAAAAAGTGTGTGTGCTGGGTGAGTGGGGTCCTTCATGATGCAGGTAGCCCTCTTCTTGCATCTAGAGGTGTAAATGTCTGTGATGGTGGGGAGGCTGACTCCAACATCTTCTGTGCAGCCTTCACCACTCTCTGCAAAGCTTTTCTTTCTGCAGCTGTGCAGCCTCCATGCCACACGTTGATGCTGGAGCACAGGATGCTCTCCACTGCACACCTGTAGAAGGAGGTGAGGACTGAACTCCACAGTCCAGCTCGTCGCAGCCGCCTGAGGAAGTAGAGTCTCTGAGCTTTCTTGATCAGGCTGGTGGTGTTGTTGCTCCACCTGAGGTTGTCATTCAGGTGCACGCCCAAGTACTTGTAGCTGGAGACCACTTGCACCGCTGGGTTCTGGGTATACTCTCAAAAATATTACTATAATTCTGCAGGAAGTGCCAGAATCCCTAGCTTATGCTGCCACAATTGCACCCATAAATAATCGTAGAACTTTATCCACCTTATTCCTAGGCCCCATGGCGCCTTGCGTTAATTATGGGCACAACTTCCGGCGCGGACCAAAACCGGCATTTGTTTATGTGCGAACGGTACGAGCTAGTTTCTCCAATCGTTGTGGATTTAATCTAAACATGTAGAAACACCACCTGTCAGAGCTCAAACAGGACAAGAATCATACTGCTGCCTGCTGAGGACGAGGGGTGGAGGACGACCTGAAGAAGTGGCTGCAGATTACATCTACTAGCATATTAGCTACTTCATTGATTCGGTTGCTTCTGACAGTGAAGCGATGAACAACCTGAGGCGTGTTAGTATCCACACAGTACTAAGGTCGGTGGTGTTTTGTTAAAAGAGGTGGGACACAATCTTATTTACCTTAAAGCAGACATAGAGCCCAGGCAAAGCCTTACAGTCCTCCATCACTGAGCTTGGCTTCATTTCAGAGAAAATCATAATACTGAAGACGAACAAATACAATAAACCTGTGACCTCCATACACTTCAAATCATGCATTAAACATGTTCTCGTCACTGTTTTCAATCCTTCTGAGGATCCGGCGTCTCCTCTCTGGTGGTTTATTGTAGTCCAGGCACAAAGTAGGATGCAGCTTTTCCTCCGTCGGCCGTTTGTCAACAAAGCGAATTGAGCACACATAGTGTTTTTAGTGGTCTCTTCAAGTTCACATTTTTCAGCCACGTTCTTCTTAATTCCTCATCTGTAGATAGAAGATGGAAACTAAACCACTTCTCACAGGAACTCTTTTTGTTTTTGGTTCTGTGTTCAAAACTCTGTTGTTGTTGCCACTGATTTAGTTTCGTCTGGTTGTTCGTACAGCCATGAACACAACAGGTACCTGAACTCCATGAGGCTATTTTAGTCAACTTTATGGTTGTTAAATTAATATAAATAAAACAAAACCATAGTTTTATCTCTTCAAATAAACCGGTCCGTGCTCTGCTACCATGATTAACCAATGCTTACTGCTACTTCCTGTCTGACAGGAAGTTGTACCCATCATCATTTATACTGTAGAGCCCCCAGGAATAAGGTGGATTAAAAAAAAAAGTTTAATTTGAGGGTGTAGTTGTTTTAAAACGACTGCTCAGACTAGCTGTTAGCTCGTCAGTCTGTTCGGGTCAACTCTTTCTCCAAATAGTGGTCACACAAAAAGCTATCCACAACAGGTAAGATATTGATCGTTCATAATCTTTTTTGCCAAACCCCATTTTCAAAAGACTCAAAGTGCAACTTTAAGCTAAACATATGAACTATTAGAGCTGATTGAGAGCCAGATGAACTTCACGGCCTGTTAAACTTTCTGTTAAACGAGTTATCTTGAGGTTTCTCAGCCCCGAGCACGATCTGATGAACTGAGACAGTGATGTAGAAAGAAGAAGAAAACATTTGACTAACTTGTTAAAACGCCAGAGTAACAAACTCGGAAGCAAATCCGCTCCACTGTACCCCCCCTCCCCCCCGGCTCATAGAACTGTCACTGTGAAGGAATGTTTAATTAACTTGAATGTGAATAAACGTTTCCAGTGTTGCTGAAAGGCAACTCCCACACACTGAAACCCGAGGGGGATTTTCAGCCAGTGGAGAAAATCTAATTAGGGGCATTTAGTCGTATTACCCAGCTGGTCCAGTGAGACCCCAGTCTAAAGGTTTGGCTCTGATTCTGAGCTCTGATCAAACCAGAATCTTGGACTTTTTGTTGACTGTGGTTTATTTTGTAAATAATCCTTAAACGCAATTTTCCATTTGACGGATTCAGCCTTACTTTGGCATCCTGTTCACTGTAGGTACTGCTGCGCAAGTGTGTGCGTGTGCTCATCTGTGTCTGCGGTGTGTCATGTATCACAAATTACTGTTTTTGAAGTTTCAGACCTTTTGCTTTGTGTGTGTGTGTGTGAGATTGTTGAATTGTGTGTTATTTCACACACAATTCAACAACTGTGTTAAGTGTTAAGCTTATAGACCAGAAGCGCGCCATGGAAGACTTGAGTGTTTGTCAGCAAAAATAAATAAATCCTGATAACCAGCTCAACATCTGTACAAATGGCTGCAGCTCAAACAATTTACACATATTGAGATAAAGTTTGGTGTGGTAGTAGCTGAAAGTCATCCTGAACATATACTCTGACTGCTAACAAATCACACAAGATCTTTGTTTAAAAATTAACATGGCAGCCTGTGAGTGATGTGCATTCTTTTAAGAATGCTCTTTTCAATTAAATCAGTTGTTTGTTCAGGATTTGTGGCTTTTTTTAATTGTCGCTTTGGTTGTGACCTGATATAATTGATCTGTCTAAACCATTACATCACACGAAAGAGGCAATTTTAAGTGCTAAATTTGTGAAAATGTGACGCATTTAAAATTAGTTTGTTCTGATATCTTAGTTTTACTCCAGCAGCCGTTAAGAGAAACACATTTTCCATTGTCTGACTTTGTTGCTTTGTTAAATTAAGAAAAGTCTTACCCTCCATAATCTGGTGAGGAATTGATCTTTTAACTTGTTGAGAAATATTTGCACTGTGAAAAGACTTCCCCGTGTTCTTGAGTTTGTTAGAACAGTAGCTAGCGAGTTTGAGAGTGTTGACACCTCAAATAAACGTATCAAACGACCGAATTGAAAAGTTATTCGCACGTTTAGCTAAAATTTTATGACAGGGTAGCTAGCTAGCACATAGTTTAGCATAAGTGGTTTCTTAGCTGTTTTCGTTTACGATTGTTTAAAAAAAAAAAAAACTTATTTTAAAACTTGTAGGCCTTATTCATATTCGATAAACAACTTTGTCTATATTTGAACTATGCAAGAAAGCCAGATCAATAGGTAGGAGACGTTAAGACCTTGACTATACTAATTTTGAAATAAATAAATATATCGGTCCAGGCAAAACATACAATTTTGCAAATCAAATAAAAATGGTTAAAAATACGTTTGGAAAAGTTTATGCACCGGGAAGTCAAGAGAGTTTCCATCAGACATTAAAAAAACCTTTTTTCACATGTACAAATTTTTGTTTGTTTCTTTATTTCTTTTAATTAATAATAATAATAAAAAAATTTAAATCGCCATTATACAATAAGATGGACAAAGTATATTTGCCATTTTCTGTTGTTTAATGTGAAGCTGTTAATTATGCCTGTCACGATAACAAATTTTGCCGGACGATTAATTATCTCAGAAATTTTTGCGATAAACGATATTGTTTGAAATTTGATGATAATTAGTAATTATTGTCAAATTTAAGAAGAAATGGTGGTTAACTTGTTTTGCGTGTAGTACCTTTTTGACCACCGGATGGCAGTATAAGACTGTTTGAACCAAAGGATGGCTAGTGAGGGAGCGAGCAGCGTGTCTCTTTAAGAAAAATAGGAGGGAGGCCCCTTGACGTGACATGGGCTGTCTCTCCTTTATTCGGTTCTCAAATTGGCGGACGCTCGGTGTGGTTTGAGCTCTTTAGCATAGCATTTGTCACACAAAGCTTTTAATAAAAATCAGTAAACAAGTTCTCATCTTCTTTTTGAAAAACAGCTTTTCACACAAAGGCACGGGTTTCAACCGTGAATTTTGGAGCTTCGACAATACGGATGTTTTTTCCCCGAGGTCGGCCTGTTAGCTTAGCTCGTAGCTTAGCGTCTCAGCTTAGCTGCTTTTAATGATCCACAAACGTGATTTTGGACAGTTAAAACTGATTTTAAAGAGAGAGGTCAGTGAAGCGCACCGAATTGAGCCTTTTGCCATTTAGTGTCTTCAGTAGAAAGAGAGAGACACGAAGAAACGATAAAGCCGATAAATGAAAATGAAGTCAATAATTTTCATTTATCATGCAATTAATTGATTTATTGTTTATTGCGACAGGCCTACTGACAATAGCCAGTTTATCGGTTCTGCCGTGTTGTATTTTTGAAACCAGAGTCTGCTCGCTCTGGACTTGGAGCCATAAGCCCCTCCCACTTCCCTGTAAACAATCAAATACCTAATTGCAGCTATTATATATATATTTGTTTTTTTGACCATATAACCACAAATTATGAACTACATGAATCATCAAGTGTATTCTTTAAAAACTGAGGTGTATTTGTAGTTTTTAAATCAGACATTCCACTTGGAGATTAAAACTATACTGCATTCCACCTGCAGGGGCGCTCATACTCTTTTGACTTCAACTTACGCATTTCGTCCAGTGTCTAAAAATATATTGATGCAATATACTAAAACCTTTTTTCACTCAGTAGTTGTTGTTTTTTTTTGTTTTGTGCGATTTTAGTCAAAAAACACAATATGTGTGACTGACTAGTGCTTCACTTTGTCTAAATTCCACAAAAACTTTGAAGTACAAAAGCATTATGCTAAAATACAGTGCTAAGTTTATTGATAAGTTTCACTGTTATTTTTGATAGTCATGATGAACCTGCGTAGCTTTAAGCGTTTTAATTGTTTAGCTTCACCTACAGATGTTTGCTTTAAGAATGCGCAGAATAAAATGTATCTTGTTTTTAGTCGTTCGCTCAGAAACTGAACAATTTCCTGCTCAATTTATGTGCCGGGGGAATTTCATGCCTCAGTGACACCTGTCAAAAGCATATTTCAGATTTTAAAAACATGCATGCAATCGGGAATATACTCCTTTCTCTATTTTTTTCTGCATATTTTTTTTGCTTGATGACGCCTACTGCATTTCTCCTGTTGGATTTAAACGTAAGAGAATATGTCAGGAATAAGCCCTCTGTGGAACGAGCCATCCCGAGAGCTCTCCTTCGTGTTATCAGCCTTAAACCAGCAGAACCCTCACAGATAGTGTGGGGAAGGACATGCAGGAAGACGATTAGGGTCAGCAGGATTACTGTAACTGCGTTCGAATGGCTGTGGTTCTTTAAAACCTGTCTGAGAATGGGGAATTTCCTGTCTGAGACTATTTTGGGAACTCCACATTCTGTAGCAGCCAAGCCTGAGCTTCAGTTTCACAGAAAAATGGGCAAAAGACCCTTTTTTAGCACCGTTTCTTCTTTTGTCCACCTTAAAAGCTTTTTTTTTTTTTTGCTTTTCTAAGGAGCCCTCTTGTCACATATTATAAACAATCATCTGAGATTCCCACAGTCTCATGGCGAGGATAGGAAGGAGCTTGCTGTGTTTCTTTAGTTTGTGTGTGCATGTTTGCAGAGCAGCTTCTTCACACACGATCATTGGTGACAAATATGACTTTTTGTTTTCAGATTGGAGAGAGAGCGGAGTTTCTGAACAAGTCTGCTCAGAAAAGGTAAAATATTTGGTCCCAGTAAACCGCGCTGTGGCTCCATTGTTCTCTTCAGATGTGAAGCTGTAGGCCTGCAGAGTAAACTGTATATTATGTACATTTAACTGTTCAAAGTAATGTGTTGTTTCTGCTCAGCAGTGCGGTGAAGACGGCCCATTCTCCTGTGGTGTCCAAGATCGACAACAGGCTGGAGCAGTACACCTCAGCAGCTCAGGTTAGCGTGAACTCGTTTAAAAATATCACCACGCATTTCAGTGACGACACCGTGCTCATTTTATTAAAATATTAGTTTAGATACTTTGAAATGTAGTTTTGTGGATAAGTTGTAGACAGTGTCTTACCTGTTGTAGATAGCTCTTCTGTTTGGATAAATTAGGTTTAATTTTGACAGAATTGAGCGATCGGTTATTCTGAGCTAACAAAGTGCTAAGTTCACAACAGTTCAGGTGAAAATTATATTTCAGTTTGTAAAAAAATATATATATATGATCCGTGGTTAAACTGCCAAAAATACATGTTTTTTTGTTTTTTTTTTGTTAGTTTTGAACATTAAGTTGCAAACGTATGAGAAGAAAATCATAATTACATTTCCAGAAGCACGGTGGCTTTTCTTCAACTATAACTCATATTTGTTCAGATAAAATCTCAAAACTGCGTCTGAATTCTTACAAGTGCAAATAAAATATTTCTATGCTTCTGGTGGGTGCGCTCCTTTGTGCGCCAGAAGTGCTACAGTTGGCTGCTGCTGTAAATAAGATCCTCCGGTCCTGGCTGGGCAGAAAGCTCTGTGAGCGACCTCAGGTTGGACTCTGTCTGGATTGATGAGCTAACGGCTAGTCCGAGTAGCGCCCAAGTGGTTCTCTGCCGTCCCTGATCTCAGTTTATAGTCGTTTATACAAACACTCTTTAATAAAACTTTAGTTCACATTTCAATGTTTACATAAAAATCTATGGGCATTTGTGAGCGACAATAGCGGCAGTTAGCTGTAGCACTTCCTACTGTAATATATTTCTGCGAGAATACCGTTCTTTTCAGACTATAAAGCTCAATATCAACGAACGGGTCTATTTTAATACATAAGGCGCAATAATCAAAGCAAAACACTCGGATAAGTCGAACTTTATTCAACTTATTCACATTGTTCAGTTGTACCACATAAAATGCAAAACAATACTCATTTTTGAGCGCCGTGTACCACATAAAATTGGTTTGAGGTCAGTAAGCACAACCAGAATTAATACATAAGGCGCACCGGATTATAAGGCTCACTGTTGATTTTTGAGAAAATTAAAGGATTTTAAGTTTTTATATGTTTTCCACAGAACCCCACTTGAAGCATCTGAACTATCTCTTTAATATCTAAGCCATCCCCGCTGTGCGTCGGTTTAATCTCGTGCTCTTTGTCTCCGCAGAGAGAAAACAAGGAGTGTCGGTCTCCCCGCTCCACGATTTCAGATCTCCCTCTGGTCACTGACGTCCGAAACATTAAGAGCATGTGGGAGAAAGGCAACGTGTTCAGCTCACCTGGGAGCGGCGGGAGCGCCTTTAAGGTCAACAGACATGTACATTTTAAAGTAGAGATGGAGAATAACGAGACAAAACTGTGTGAATCGGGACAAAACACGAGATGAAGGAGAAGTTCCTGCTCGGTCCCGTTGTCGATGACAAACTAGAATGGAGTGACCTTTGACTTTGTCCAAACAGGAAGCAGCTGTGATAAAGACGGGCGTGGCCGGCCGCATCAACGACTGGCTGAGCAAAACCCCCGAGAGTGGCAAGACGTCAGGAGGAAGGCCAGCGGTAGGTCGCCGTCATGGCAACATTTATTGCTGTTGGCAGGAAATCTGGAGCGCGTGTACAGCTGAGAGGCAAAAATCATCTTTATCATTTATCTGCTGGAGGTTCTCAGGGTGGAAATGACTTTTTTAATCTTATGTTTCAGGACATTTCTCTATAAATCTCCTTTTTTTTTTTTTTTTTTAAGATAGAATTTATTAACAATCTGGTTTTAGACAAATATGAATCTGTAATAGTTACCAAGCAGTTTGGACACATCCAGATCCTGTCGAGCTGCTGCTTCAATATAAAGTGTAACGATCTGACGCGGCATCATTGGAACATTATTTTATTGTTTTTAAACCAGTGAGCTGAAACAGCCATGTTGTCTCTTTGCTGTCACCTGGTGGCCAAAGGGATACATTCGCTGTGGATTTAATCACTTTTTCTGCTATGTGTTGAGAATACAAGTGCATATTGATTATGTATCAATTGGCGCAAGTATGTCACTTAAAGAAATTATTTAAAGTTAATAGCACTCATATTTTTTTAAAGCCGTTTGTTTAAAATGGAAAACAGAAAGAAGGTATATAAAACCCCAAACTGTCTACAGATGCAACCCCAGTTCTGAAAAAGTTGCAACACTGTGAAAAATATTTAAAAATAATATTATGTTGATTTGCAAACTTCATAAACCCATATTTAATTTACAATAGAACAAAGTAAACATATCAAATGTTTTGACTTAGAAACTGCAATTTTTAGAACAAATCAAGTTATTGAATTTGATGTGAAGAACGCTGGAACAAAAGGCTGCAACACGGAGCTTTTAATTGGGTTAACTGGCAACAGATTGGTAAGAAAATCTGAATCTATTAGATGTAAAGATGGTCAGAGGTTCACCAGTATGAATACCTGCATCTAAAAGTACTGGAGCAATTATAAAACAATGTTTGCCAATAGAACATCAGGGGCCACTGCTTTAAAAACAGGTTCACTCCGTGGGCTCAGGAACACTTCAGTTCACTGTGCCGTTGATCAGTACATGAAACACAAAATCTGTCAAAGACGTCTCAGGACTGTTGGACAGCTAGGGTCCTACGTCAAATAAGAATGGGACAACATTCCCTCCAAAACCTCCAGGAAGTGATCTCAGTTTCTAGATGTTGGCATTTTTTATGTAGCATGTTAAAAGCAACAAGGTTGACCCAAGTGCTTTACAAGCTAATCTGATGGGCCTGATGTGGCCCCTGGACCCCCACTTGAATAGCCCAGTTCTAGACCTTTGCAAGCTGTTAAAAAGGGGACACATTATAGCGGTAAACCTGTTGCAACTTCTTCTAAACGCGTTGCTGTAAATTAAAAATTGCCTTCTTTTTTTTTTCCCCCCTCAAACTGATCCTAAAATATACAGCAGTCCCTCGATGCTTTGCGGTTCGACTTTTGTGGACTCAATTTTTTGCATTTTTCCAACGTGAGATTGTACACGACACACGATTGGCGATGGGGAAAGATGGACGCCGCCCCCCTACTTTTTCTTTCTCTGCTGTGACAGCCTGAGAAAGAGAAAGGAGGGGGCGGGATCTGCCTTTCCCTACTCTACTGCTCAAGTAGCAGGGATGAACAGATCAGATGAACAAATGTAGAATATCAGAGAAAATGCTTAGTTGGAACAATAAGAGTGATTCCGTTTAAAAAGAGAGTGGGCTGAGCATGGCTGTGTGCATCTCACTCAGGTATAAGACAGACCCCCACCCCCTCCTTTCTCTTTTTGAAGCTGTCTGTCACAGCAGGGAAAGAGTAAGGAGAAGTAGGGGGTGGGGTCTGTCTTTCCCCATCGTGTTCCAAAGACACAAAACAGGCGAACACACAACAGACAGCCTCAGAAAAAGAAAGGAGGGGGCAGAGGGTCTGTCTTTTACCTGAGTGAGCCGTGCAAGCGTCATGGATTGTTTATTTAAAATAATCAAGTGCAAACATTAAGAATGTTGCAAGAGTGTGGGAAGGGTTTATAAAGCATTAATGTATATATAAATATTAAAATAACTATAACGCCCCTATTTGATAGATCTTCACTTATTGAGGGGGTGTCTGGAACGCAACCCCTGCGATAAGTGAGGGACTACTGTAGTGTGAACTGATACAAACTGAACTTCTTTGAGCCAGCATCTGGTTTGTTTACTATGTTGTGAATAAAATGAGGTTTCTGGGATTTGCAGACCGTTGCATTCTGGTGGTGTTTACATTTTAAACAACTTTCGGGGGTTGTGGTTGTTTTCTGAAACGTGAAACAAAGGAGTGCAGTCTTGATCTCCCTGAGTAATGCGCCTCGTTGTGATGGAGCGTCTTGAAAGCAGACTGTGTCAGACTCCTGCACAGAGCGGGTCCCCCCCGACCCACCTAACTTCCAGCTTTATGTTCTCTGTCCGTCTTCCTCTGTTTCCTCACTCTCTCCACCTTAAAGACAAAGTGACGTTGCTGCATCATAACTCCCACAAACTGCGCGTTACACTCTTGTTTTGTCGATCCGCCCCGACAGGACCTGAAGCCCGTCAACGTCACCAACAAGAGGAGTCTATGGGAAAACAAAGGCGCCTCTCCGACAAAGGTATTGATCTCGGCTCGCTCGCTGTCTAGAAAGGGGAAGAGAGATTTGCGGGGCGATTACGGTCCCGGATCCTTTAAGAGGCCAGGCGAGCGTTACGACACCCTGAAGCATGTCCAGATGAGGTTCTGACGGTGCCAAAGTGGTTTGTGGTCTCGGAAGGCTTTTCTTTGGTTTCAGTCACAAGAATGTTTTCCAAAAGAGCGAGGGAGGGAGAACTCAGTCTCATGTTATCCTGACCCAGCGACTTTAGTAACGATCACTTGTGTTTGTGTTTTAAAGAACTCTCATAGCTAACTGACCTCAGCGTTCAGTCTGGAATAAGCCTGCAGAGGTAAACGAGTCACTGATCTACGTTTTTCTCCCAGAATGAGCTCACGCTCGGCTGTCTCACTCTTATTTTTGTTCTCTTTTCTGTCACTGGCACAGCTGCTTTCTGTTCTGCTTCGTTGGGACGCCACTGCTTATTTTACTTGTAGTAATAATAGCCGACCGCGAGGTTCGGTCTGAAATTAGATATTTATTTTGTGCCTACGAGCAATAAATATCAGCTGCTCCTTACGAACACGCAGCTTGTGCAACATGTGAGCAAAACAAAAAAAAGTCTTTAAGTCATGAAGTTCTCTAGTTGCTCAAATGCTTTACTTTTAGTGAATGGCTGCATCACCAACACAGTCACAAGTCGCTCAGTTTCACCGACGTTTTGTTGCCAAAACGAATAAAACAGTTGAAGCTTTTTTTTTGTTTTAACAAAGAAGACACCTTGCATGGCTGTGCCATAGCTGCAAATGTTATAAACAATGTCTTACCTGTTGTAGATAGCTCTTCCAACCCCAAAAAGTTTGGTGATATGGGTTTATTATGACCAGCTTGAAGAGCTATCATGGTGAATGGCTGCCATCTTTAAACGACTCCGTCTCAAGTCGTTCTGGTGCTTCGAGGAAAACGTTTTATGAACCTGTATGACCTTTGTCGGTTTCATCGTTTACGATTAATTGGGAAGCAGCTTTATAACATTCCTGCAGGAAAGCATCTTAATCGTAGTTCAAACTTTTTTGTTGTTGTTCTAAATTTCTGTACTTTCCGCCGTTTTCCTATTGTCTTGTTTTGTGTGGTACCACTTTACAATACATAGTTTATAGATGTGTTATTAATTCCTCTATAAACACTTTATAAAGCAATAATAATTGTTTTTTGTGCATTAATTAATGGTGGCAGAGAGACAAAACTAACCAGTTTCTTGCCAAATAAACCTGTTTAGCATTTAATACTGTACTTTATCACTACATTATAAGTATGTACAACTAATATTATATCCTAACAAAAATTTAGTTTATAAATGCTTATTGTTCTTACAAGGTAGTAACTTAGTCTGAAATGTTTAATATAAGAACTGTAGATGAAATGTATAGCTGGAAGATTTGGCTCTCTATTTCACAAAAAAACTAATCAGTTTTGTCTGTCACCCTTAATTAATGCATAATATCAATTATTAATGATCTATAAAGTGTTTATAGAGAAATTAATAACATCTATAAACTGTTAGCCATCTATAAGGGGAGCCATATTGTAAAAAGGTGCCGTTTGTTTTTACTTCATGTTGTGGCACTTTAATGTAGGAGAAGTGCTTCATAGGTTGGTTGATAAGCTATGTACAATATAAATAATTAATGTTAAGATTTATGAAGTAGCTTCAACGTAAGCTGCAGTAAAACTTGAGATCGGAGCTGCTTTAAGTCGACAGCGATCCTCTTTGGTCCAGGCCTGGCTCAGGCTAGCTGTTAGCTCGTCACTCTGCTCGGAATTAGGCTCAGTTTCTTTCAAATGCAGCTTTATATGGAGCCATCTACAACAGGTAAGACATTGATTGTGAACAGCCCTAACTCAAAAAAAATATGTAATTGTTTCCTCTTCAAGAAAAAAGAAAAGGAAGCGTGTGACAAGAACACGTTTTGGTTAATTCTGCTCTGATCTTCTGAAGATGGCGTTTGTTCTGACATGACAATAAACGGTGAAAATGCAGCAAAGCAGTTGGCAAACGTAGTTTTAACTAATCAGGACGTTTTCTGTAGGTCAGGGAAGGACTTGACAAGATATAAACTCAAGTCTGCAAGTGTGTAGTTCATGAGACTCGAGGTCGTCCAGGAGTGACTTGCTAACTTTGTACATCTTTACTGCGTTTAACCTTCCTGTGTTGGTGTGTTCCAGATGGCAGGCATGGGGGAGACCAAATCAGTCACCAACGGTAGGTTTTAACTATTTTTCCTTTCTTTTTGCTAACAACACGCGTGTTAACAAGTGTCAGCTGGTCCCGTCAGGCCCGTTAGTTTGATCTCTGCCGCTGCTGAAGAAACTAAAGTCAACTTGAAGCAACAAAGCTGTTTGTAATGACATTGACGGTGACATCACTCAACCTGAATCTGAAGAGAAGCTCGACTGTCTGCTTGGAGCTTAAATGAAGGGAGTATTGCACCGATATCTAAGAGCATAAAAACATCTCAACCACTTTTTCCAGATTAGCGAAGACATGACCTTCCTGCTACAAGTTATTTTGTCACCAGAGCTTTGATTTATTCCGCGCCATGTGTCCGATCTCTAATAACGGGCCCTGCCACCGTCATCCGGTGTTGTTTGGCCTTTTGTTTGACTCCACAGCCTTTTAGGATGCCACCTAAACACCGTGAGCTATTTTAAAATCAGATCGGAGCACAGCAGCCAGGACGTTTGGCCTTGATGGATTCTGTGCGTGTCAACAGAATGCGCTGCCGGTTCGGTGCACACAAATACACACCGGTTCCTCAGCAGCCACTGTGACACCACTCGAACCTTTCAGCTTCTTCACGGCTACGTTTTTGTCGCTCTCCGCCCGGATGAGTGTTGGAAGCAGAGCTCCTGCCAGGCTGGTTTGTCACATTAATAGCTGGTATGTTGGAGATTAGGGCCCCGCTTCAGTCCGACTCAGAGGATGACAGAGGATTTGTACAGATTTTGGATTTCTTGCCCTGAGCTGGCTGCGGGACTTTGAGGACATTTGACACTACAAGTTAGCATCTTCCGCTAACGCTTGTTTACACTTCTGACCAGTTCATGTCATACTTTCTGCACTCTTTTAGAGTTTAGAGGACAACAAACCTTTAAATGTCACACTGACTGTAAAGTGTCATTGTGGAGTTTGCTTGGGTGTGACCCCCCCTCTGTCTGGAAATTGCAGTCATTAAGCCGCACCTGTCTGCTCTCGTAGCAAATCCACTGACAAACATTTTTCCTGTCTTTCACCAGGTATGGGACACTAACGTCTTAAAGGAGCCGTCTTCAGTTCGGGACCAGGACAATCCAAGACTCTTCCTTTGATTCTTTTTTTTTCCACAAGAACCAAATAATGATCCTAGATGGGAACACACACAAACACACACACACCACGACCACAGAGTGACAGAAGTCCTCGCACTGTACTGAAACACCATCAGCTTGTTATTGTAGGGTTGCCAAGTATAGTGCCTTTGCACAAAGAGTTTTCTGTGTTTAAAAAAATGCTGTGAAATCTGAACATTTACAATTCCTTAAATCTTGTCACGAAGACGACCGTAATTTTAGGCCCAGTCTATACTGCTTTGGATCATTTTTAAAACGGGTGCATTTTATTTTTTGTATTTTTGGGGGGTCTATATCCACATAATCATAGCCGGCGAGCGTCCACATTGAAGACATAAAGATGCAGGAAAATAAAATTTTAGCTTTGCTTTTAATAAATAAAAAAGGGTGGGGCTTCAGAATTGTACTGCAACCAGCATCTAAGGGGCAGCTGTGTCTAGTTATCATAATGGTACCAGTTTTTAGTCCCACCCACTTCAATGAACTTAATGGAGCCTTTAAGTCCCGCCCACTTCATTTAACTAAATGGAGTCTTTAAATCCCGCCCACTTCACATAACTTATTGAAGCCTTTAAGTCCAGTCCATTTCATGTAATTTATTAAGCTTTTAAGTCCCACCCACTTGATGTAACAATTAACCCTTTAAGTCCCACCCACTTCACGTAACTTAATGAATGGATCCTTTAAGTCCCACCCACGTCACATAACTTAATGGAGCCTTTAAGTCCCACCCACTTCACAACTTAATGGAGCCTTTAAGTCCCAACCACTTCACTTAGTGGGGCCTTTAAGTCCCGCCCACTTCATGAAACAATGGAGCCTTGCACTCGATTAAAAAGTAGAAATACCTGTTAACTTCTTGCAGATGTTGCCTCTTGTTGATTACCATCTTGCTGCTGAATGTGGTCATGTGATGCTATGATCATGCACATGTGAGGAGGCGGGACTAGGATCTGATTTGAAAATACAATATGGCAGCTCCCGTAAATAAGGTCTCATAGCTTCAACTCTCGGAAAAGCCAGAGTCCTAGTGTCGCAGAAGTGTGTGACCCTTACTGCTACGTCGTCATATCTGCAAAGCTTCAAATCAGTTTTTAAAAATCTCCACTTTCCAAAACGTTTTCAAGTCATTTTTTGTCCCTTTAAAAACAGTTTGTGTGTGAACGCAGCAGATGTATTTCAAAATATCCGTAGTATTATAGATCCAGGGTCTTTAGTTTTATACTCTATAAATAAATTTTAAAAAAGATTTAAAGTTTCCACATTCCATAGAGTTGGGGGGTCAGACCAATCTCCTTCCTCTTACAGATTATTTTCCATCTCTTTGTTTATTTTTATTATTATTACTATTTATATTTAAAGAGAAAGCTTCGCCACATTGCTATTTTATTCATCATTCACCTGTTCAGGATAGAAATATAAGCACCTCTAGACTTTAGCCTAATTCACTTTTATTATGTTTTAACAATAGAGCAGCGATGGTCTGAGTAATATAAGTTAGCACGTGATGTTTTGAACATCATACTGTATCATTTATAACACTTTTTATACTCTTAACAAAAGGTATTTTTTTGCTTTTTTCTAGTATCCAGAACTATTCACCAACAGGAAGTTGAGGAGTTGATAGGAGGGTTTGATATTCAAAAGTCTATTATGACTTTTTATTATCCTTTGTCAGTTTTATTTAATTTTTTATGTGGTTTATCTTATCTAGCTGTTTATGAAGCTTTTTTTTTCAATCGCTTAAAAAAACAAACTCTGAACATTCCTCTTAAAATGATGCCTTCGCTGCTTAAAGCTTCGTGTTTTATTTTCGTAAAATATTTGCGAATCAACCAACTTTTTGTACTCTGCCTTTACGCACATTTTTGTTTCTTCTTTGCTCAGCAATATTTTCCAATTGGAAGGTGTGTAAAGTAAAATCGGAGTGCCTGCGCGTATTGGAAGACACCTGTGCAAGGACATGTACCACTATGGAAACCCTCCTGCCTTATGATTGCAAAGATACAAAAAAAACATTTTCAACTGGGAGCATCACACCAACAGGTTGGTTTTGAGAGGTGTGATGTTAATTTTTTCGCTGACGTGTTCTTGGGCGGCTTGTAATGTTTGCGCGGTGCCAGCCTCGGTGCGATCATGACCGGTTTGTCAGGGCATTAAATCGATTAATGTTACTGCTCAAGATTCTGACAATCACATTCCACGGCTCCTGAAACGAGCAGGGGAGCCTGACCAAAATATTCCAAGAGTGAATTAATGTGACGTTTGTTTCTTTTTTAATACAGTGGTTTTTACTGTGCTGTATTTTTTTTTTTTACAACTTTTTCTATTTCATGTTTCTTTTTTGTTCTGTTTCTTTTTATTTTTTTACCTATAGGCACTTGTTTGTGTAGTGCAAAGCCTATGCACAACACATTTGTACCTGTATCTACTCTCTCCCAATGTCATGAAACTTTTCAAGTGGATGAATGTTTTTATCATGTATCCTTGACTAAACAGCAACAATAAAGACATTGAGATAATCCAAGTTGTTTCCTTTTCTTTACTCCTGTACTGCATATATGAACTGAGTTGTATACTTGCATTCTATGTATAAATGAAACTGTGTGTATCCTGATGCATTCTCAATAATCCAAGTAGAAAAATCTAACAAAATAAAGTCTAGTCTGCAGAAAGAGAAATCCCACACAAAACAGGCCCTGGAGCAATGTGGATATCCTAACTGGGCCTTTCCTGATAGAAGAGAAGAAACCCAAACAGGACTCCAGCCAGCCAACGGGGACAAAGGAGGAACCCAGACTAGTGGTCATTCTATACATTGCAGGAAATACAGAGAAACAAGATGTTTATTTTCTAAACACGACGTCCCAGTGGCTTTCAAAACCCAAATTACATTATGGCAAAGACTGATCCATCCCAAAGAACCAGTCTCCCGGTACAAACAGAGTAGTCCTCGAGGGCTGTGATCAGTCTTACATTGGGGAAACTAAACGGCCACTGGCCAAAAGGATGGACCAGCACAGAAGAGCAACATCATCAGGCCAGTACTCTGCGGTCTACACTCATCTCCAGGCCAGTGGTCACTCAGAGATAAAGGTATTCACATCCTTGATAGAGAGGAACGATGGTTTGAGAGAGGAGTGAAGGAAGCCATCTTTGTGAAGAGAAGTCCATCCAACCATTCATTATCTTTAACCCGCTTCTTCCATTTTGGGTCACGGGGGTCACCAGTACCCATATCCCGCAATCACTGTGCGAGGGGCAGAGTACACCCTGGATAGGTTGCAAGTCCATCACAGGGCCATGAAGAGACGTCATCCATCATTAAACGGGGGGAGGCCTCCGTGTTCAACTGTCCCCCTCTTACAATGCTGTTCTTGCTAATATCACTCTGCCCTCTGTGAATAGCAAGCAGCCATAGGGCACGAACAATCGGTCATTAGGCTGATGGTCCTCCTTATTCATGTGAGCAGCTAGTTTTTGGCTGTCACCAGCAAACTGGTCGATCGACGGTGTAAGAGAAGATGCCATTTATAAGACTGAGTTTATTGCAGCTCCTCACGACTGACACAAGTTTTTTGGATAAAAGACAAAATGGTTCAACAAGAATAATCCATCCAGAGGACCTCACTTTATTTTGTTAGAAACATATTCTACTTGTTTGAAGCATTTATTTTCTTCCAGGACTCGGCAAATGAGAAGAAAAGCTTTGTAGAGGTACAGATACAAAACATATTGTATAGTTTGCAAATACTTCAATTTGACCTTGTACTTATAAACTTTGATATTAAGTCGATCTTAAGTAATGAAAGCACCAAATAAGTAATTTAAACTTACATATTTGACACCAACTGAAACCATACACCTACAATACTGAATCCAATGAGTTGTAGCAACTTCCCCCATAGTTCACGTTACACTCTTGTTCTTAAAATGGACACCGGCACACTTCTCCATTCCTCAGGGATGTTCTCGATCTCAAAAATGCCACTGAATAATCAAGTCAAAAACCTCATCGCCATCTCTCCCAGACTTTTCCAAACCTCATCTGTCATCAGGTCCAACTGCCTCACTAATCTTTCCAACTTCCTGGTCCACAATTTCTTTGACCACTACTCTTCTTTTCCTTCCATTCGCTTCATTCATTAGCTTCTCAAAATGCTCCTTTCATGTTTTTATCCTACTCTCCTCAGTTGTTGGTCTATCTTCAATGAGACTAACCTACTGCACATCCTTTCCAGGCTGATCCCTCTGTCTCATCAGTCGATACAAGCACTCTCCCTTTTTTCTTTGTCTCAACAAGACTAAAAGTTTCTTTATAAACTATTTTATATTGCACACATTCATAAGATGTAAATTCATGGTTTAGTTTAATTGCTAGCCTTTGCAGAACATGACTGGATAACGCAACGAACATGGATAGTTAGCTTTTTTATCTTATTTTTTTGAATGCTTTTGGTGTTATGGTAAAAGTTGTATAACTGTTATGTTTTTTTGAACATTAGTATGTATATATATATATATATATATATATATATATATATATACATTTTCTCTGAAATTAAAAGTTTTAATTGTAGAACCTCAGTTCAGCATCCAGTCACGTTTTGCTCACTTCAGTGTTGTCGTCCATACTGTAATAAAAACAAAGACATACAAAATAAAATAGTTTTAAGTTGATTTTCTTTGTTTCCTTCCCCTGTGCTGCAGCATATTTCCGTAGCTTGTTCTTTAATTATAGAAACACCAGTGACCCTTTGCTGAACATCTCAAGAATGACTTTAAATGTATTTGTTTCCTTCTTCTGCCCCGTGTCCAACTGATTATGATCGGCACTTGAAGGCAGTATTTCTGTCCAGGTGTAACTCATCTGACTTTCTGTGTCCAACAATAGAACTGGCCAGTCAAAGAAAAGAAATGTGGTCACGTGACATGTAGAGCTGTATTAAGTGTGCTATTTGGTTTGAGGAGGGGATGACTGAACCTGTCTTTGTCTGGATGTAGAAGAGGAAGAGCAATACTTGCTGCTAATCCCATCTCTTCTTCAGAGGATATAGAGTTCAAGAGGTAAGGGCTGACCAAGGGCAATATAGAAGGCCTAAACATAATATTTGATCATATTGTAGTATTTCTAATGTTAGAAACTGCATATGTTGTCACTATAGTAGAATAAAAAATGTTCTACACATTTTTATAGTGAGATAAACTGAATTAAAATGCCTCAGATGGTACTGGTTAAGGCGTCTTAAGATTTGAGGATTATTTTTTTGGTCATGCTTTCAGTTCTAGTGGGTGAATATGTTGAAGGTGCTAAGCTCGCCCACTGACACTGTTGTGTTGGTATTCTCTCTTGCCGGCATAGACTTAATGCTGCCTAATGCTGAAACCAGCACCAGCAACATTCCTGCCACTGTCATTCTGTTTGTTGTTCCACAGTTTCAGCCAAATGGCGACAGACCGCATCCATTAAAGCAAGCATTCCCTCAATACCCCAGCTATGAACGTTGCGCTGTTCGAATTCTTTCTGGGTTTCCAGTCGGTGCTTTTCCACAGCCAAGATATTTATTTTCTCTCTCTCAAATTTCCACGTTGATCTTTTCAGCTGCACAGCCTGATGACGGAAGTAACAACCGCAAAGGGCCTTCACATGCGCCGCAATATTTAAATTTGAGCAGCTATGCAAGAGAGCTGAAGGAGAACCATGAATTTAGGGCTGTAACCAGATTCAGAGAAGGTGCAAATATGGAGAGAACGTGCAGCTGGCTGTTGGAAATTCCTAGGAAAGAAGAAAAATCGGACTCAAACTAGAAAAGCGAAGATTCGTTCAACCTTTATTTAAACAGACCGTGTGGATGCAATTTAACTTTTATCATCCATTTAATGCTCATATGAGGATAAAACCAGTGGTGTAGTCTACATTTTTGTAGTGGGTACACTGTGCTTAGAAACCAAAGTACACAAGTTAGTACAATGTAATCGTCAATTTATTTTGATTTTTAAGCGTATTGAACATTTCAAAATTTCTCTGATGCTTATAGTACAACAAACTTTGTGCAACAGTTGACTTTGTATTAAAAACATGTTCTAGAATTTATAAAACGGCATCAAAGCAAAACACGTTAAAGTATTAAGTAGTCAGTACAAAAATATTAATTATACAAAAAAAAAAAAAGGTTGAATCAACTCAATGTGTCTGTTGCAGGTCCAGGACTGTGGAATGAGTTGCCACTGAGTGTCCGGCAGGCTCCCACACTCTCAGTCTTTAAGTCTCGCTTGAAGACCCACTTCTATTCGCTTGCCTTTAACACGGTGTGATTTGTTTTGGTCCGGTCTGTTCTCTACTCTGTTGGCCATTTTAGTTAGCTTCTGCTGCTATTTGTATCTGTATTTCTATTTTATGTTTTCCTGTCTGCTGTGCATGTTTGTTTTCTTTTGTACAGCACTTTGGTTGACCTTGTTGCTGTATTAAGTGCTATATAAATAAATTGGTATGGTATGGTACAAAAGGTTCCAAATGTGTTGACAATGACACGAGCCCACGTATCATTGCCAATGATATGTGACATGGGCTCGTGTCATTGGACACTTAAGTGGGTATACTGAAATTCCCAAACTTTTCTAGTTGTATACTCCGTATACCCACGTATCGCATAGACCACCGCTGGATAAAACTTGTTACAAAGTCCAGCAAGCTGCTTTTGTACCATTTCCCAAAATGTCAGCTGTCTGTTAAAAGTGCAACACAAGTAGCCTTAAAAATGTTAGACGTAGCTTGTTGATTTCGAGGTGAGCCAGAGCCATTGTCTGGAGGAGTAGCTCCACACCTGTTCAAGAGCTCCCTCTATTATTCTTAAAAATAGATCTTTGCTTCCACCCCCCCACCAGCCCCACTCTACTGCCATAATGACATTGGTGTGCATGATCCGGTGGTACACCGTCCAAGGAACGGATACACTAAGTCGTGAAACCCTTTGACCACGACCTTGACCTCAAACCTCATTGCTGTTGCCGAGTTAGATTCTCAGTTAAGCAACTGTTTGCATCCTCAAAAGACCTTTGAAGACGAGGTGACTCCTAGGGATCATATGAGCAGCTAAATGTGAAATCTTAACTTAGCTTCAGCAGAATTTACTTATTGTTCTATTTGAATCCAAACTTCCCTACTTGCTTTTACTTCTTTAACCTAATTACCGCTAGGTGCTTATTTCTTAAACCTAACCACGAAAGGTAAAGTGTAGAGTTGGGTGTTTAATATAAATGTTGCTTTGACAAAGTTCTGGTTTATGTTTCCTAAACCTAACCGGGACATGTGAAAAGGGGTTGTTAATGTTTTATAGGAACTTTTACTGTGCAAAAGACATAATTAAAAATAAACTTATATGAGAGGTACATTTGATTTTGTTTCTTACAAGTTGTAGATCCTTTCCGATCAAACCTATCCAAGTAGAACAACTAGCTTCTGCTACTATTTACATTCAACAGATGTGTATGGAAATGATATAATACATATAATAGGTAAATCTAAAATTTAACAATCTGGTGTTTCCACACCTAAGCAACTGCAGCTGCCATTTGTGCTTACAAGTAATAATATATTTATGTAATTAAGTAATTCATGTCATTACCGTATTTTCCGCCATACACATCGCACCGCCCTTTAAGTCGCATCAATCCAAATATGTCTAATAAAGTGGAAAAATCCATAAATACGTTGCTTCGCCGTGTACATCGCATCTATTATGCGTCACCGCTGACTAGTCGCATTTGTTACACGTCAGCGCAGACAACATGGAAATGTGGGCTGTCGTTGTGCCAAAAACCGATTGGCTGCCAAATGGCAGCCGTGGGAGCATGCACGGGAGAACTTTAACAAGATTAAGACTTACAAACAATTATTTGTTTGGTCATCATTATAGTAAAAGTGTGTCTCAGTCTAACGTTTACTTAATAAATGCACTTTAATTGTCAAATTAGCTTCATTTCGCCGGGGCGGTGCAGCGAAATGAAGCTGATTTGATTGTTGTGCCAAGCGAGCAGAATGAAGGTGGCAGGCTATGGCAAGCCAATTGTGTCATTGATAGCTACTTTTACCTATTACATGACACAACGGCATGCTATACTGCTCAAGTGACATCTAGCGGCTGAAAATGGTAGTGTTCAGTATTTTCAATCAGAATGAATGAAAACAGTAATATCTCAGCTAAAAATTGGGTTTATAAATACGGGGGGGGTCCATAAATGCGTCGCTTCTGCGTATAAGTCGCGGCCATCTTGTAGTTTTGTTGCTATTGTATAACAACTTGCATTTAGCTATGACCATACCAAATTTCAGCTCAATATCTCAAAGAATGATTGAGTTGCAGTCAATTTTGGAGTTTTCCTCTTACCTTTAGGCCATGTGACCTCACCATGACAGTTAGAAACTCGTGAGAGATCTGTCAGTGTTTTCAATGAGAAATGAGGTGTCTTTGTGAATTACGTCACCATGGTAATTTGAAACGCTAAAAAAAGTAATAGCTCACATCACTGTGCCGAGCCTGTCGTTTTGATATAATGTAGAAGCACATATTGCGGTTCGGGCCGCATTAAAGTTGATAGAAGAGCAAGGTGGATAATAGAGTGCTGCCTTTCTAGGCAGTCCCCAATAAATAAAGTTAAGAAACCCTAAGTCAAGTGGATAATAAAAGGGTGCTGCCTTTCTAGGCAGTCCCCAATAAATAAAGTTAAGAAACCCTAAGTCAGGTGGATAATAAAAGGGTGCTGCCTTTCTAGGCAGTCGCCCCCTTATGAATAACATGATAAGCATAAACAGACCAAATTAAACGTGTCCATTCCTTGCAAAACACATCTATAAAGCAGTTTCAGTACCTGGAAAATTGTTTACAAGTGTGCACATCAGAACGGGTGCAACGTGCACGGCTGCACATCAGTGGAACCTTTGAAAAATTCATGCAGTCCTGTTGGTTTCAGTGTTCCCACTTTAGCCGGCAGCCTTGATCTGTGCCAGGAGGAAATGAGTGAGGATTGGGCCTGGAGCTGTTTAAAGCCCTGCAGTGGCCATGGAGGAATCCTTTCTGATCTACAATTGTTCCAATCTCACAAAATGTAGCGCAGATTTCATTGTTATTGATTGCACAAAACATAAAGGGAGGGAATCTCTAGGGTTTGTAAGAACATCATTCAAAGGAACTTTAATGTCAAGTGGACGAGCGCAGAAAGAGAAAAGTGATAAAAATGAAAATTGTACTTACCTGACTCGAGAGAAAAAGTCTGAATCAGATCAAAAGATGCACAAATACGGTTAAAATAAGATTTATTTAAAACCTGATAATTTTCTCTGATCAAGGGGAGCCAAGATGTCTGAAGTTGCAGAAGAAGTGGTGGAAGAAGTAGAAGTGATAGTCGAGGAGGTGCTGTGAGTATCTTTGAAGAGATGTAATTTCAAAAAAGCTTTTTTTTTTAACTCAATCCAAATGTTTGCTTATTAATTTCCTTTCAGGGAGGAAGGTGAGTTAAGACTTGGAGAATTTTTCTGCTTTTTGGAAAACAAAATGTCACTTCAGGCTTCGGTTTCTGAGCGCGGCTGACCTGATTATGTCAGCCGAGGTAAAATAAAAAGTAGGAAGGCTTGTGCACGACTCCACGTGTGGCGTCACTTTGTTTCCCGCACGTCTCTTGCTGTTACAATGTCTGCTGTCAGTGATGAAAAGCACAGCGAGCTAGCTGGGTGTTTAATTTGGAATGCTAACGCCTCACCTGTCAGCACCCATCTGTTGGCTCATGTATGGGTGTCTTTTTTTAATAAAAATTAATATGTCTGTACCATTTTTAGCTCTGCACCTTGACTCACTTTTTAATATTCTGACATGTTTGACTTTCTGAAGGTCTGAAGATTCTGTTCTCAGTTCAAATTTGACTTAGAAGCCATTTTATTTGACCCATATACATATATACAGCATATTTCGAGCTAGGAGCTAAAAGAAGCTGAGTGCAAATTGGCGCTAAAAGAAGCCGAATGCCTGATAGGAACTACAACGTGCAGAAGACTGAAGCTGAAAGGAGTAGAAGACTAGGAGCTGAAAGGTGAAGGTGGCTAGCCAGGAGCTGAAAGGTGAAGG